TAGGAGATTCCTTTATTCTGTGCAGCCCCCTTCACTGCTAGATACAGTTAGGCCAGGCCCAGGGCTGTTCCTCACCCGTGTCCATTTTCATGGAGATCTTATTTAAACTCCTGTATTTGAATATCTTCAGCCCCGTAGCTGTTAGTCTACGATGATGTATCCAGTTCTATACTTTGTATTTTGATATCGGCCAATGCTCCAGGTTTCGATGTTTGGCTGCATCCATGGTATCTTCTGGGATCTCAAACAATCATATTCTTGATGCTCATCTTCCATATGAAAGCTGCTTCCCCTCGATAACCTCTCAGTCAAGAGCATTGCCACTCAGGGTCTCTGGCCATAAATGTTTCTTCCTTTCATAGTCACATCTAATCCTTGAACACAGTCCACTTCCAAGTCTATCCTGAATCCCAGTGTCTCTCTACTCACATATCAACAGCCTAGTCCCGACTAGCACCATGTCCATCCCCATGATCACCCCTTTCCTAATGGGCAGTCAGAAAGGATCAGAAAAACCTCTCTTGACTTCTCTAAATAGGACAGCACACCCCTCTCACTATACACCCCTCAGCCTGGCTCACTGCATTCTAACATGCACAGGGCCATAGAGATTTTTTTTTAAAGGAGGGGAAACCATATCATTTCTTTTCTTCTAACCTTCCAATGAGATTTAAAACTATTTAGAATAAAATTCAAGTTCAATCTCTTTTTCTATTGGTTATTTTGTTATTTACATTTCAAATGTTATCCCCCTTCTCAGTTCCCCAAATCCCTCGATCCCATCCCCCTCCCCTTGCTTCTATGAAGGTGCTCCTTCACCCACCCACCCACCCACTCTCACACCACGGCCCTATCATTCCCCTACACTGGGACATTGAGCCTTCAAAGGACCCAGGGCCTCTCCTCTCATTGATGCCAGACAAGGCCATCCTCTGCTACATATGCGGCTGGAGTCATGGGTCCCTCCATGTGTACTCTTTGGTTGGTGGTTTAGTCCCTGGGAGCTTTGGGTAGTCTAGTTGGTTGATATTGTTCTCAACTGAGGAATCTCCCATGGCTGAGAAGCACTTAAGGAAATGTTCAACATCCTTAGTCATCAGGAAAATGAAAATCAAAATGACCCTGAGATTCCACTTCACACCAGTCAGAATGGCTAAGATAAAAAACTCAGGTGACAGCAGATGCGGGCAAAGCTGTGAAGAAGAGGAACACTCCTCCATTGTTGGTGGGATTGCAGGCTGGTACAACCATTCTGGAAATTAGTCTGGTGGTTTCTCAGAAAAATTGGACATAATATTACCTGAGGACCCAGCTATACCACTCATGGGCATATACCCAAAGATGCTCCAACCTAAAACAAGGACACATGCTCCACTATGTTCATAGCAGCCTTATTTATAACAGCCAGAGGCTGGAAACAACCCAGATGTCCCTCAACAGAGGAATGGATACAGAAAATATGGTACCTTTACACATGGAATGCTACTTAGCCACTAAAAACAATGATTTTATGAAATTCACAGGCATTAGATGGAACTAGAAATATCATCGTGATTGAGGTAACACAGTCTCAAAAGAAAACACATGGCATATATCACTGCTAAGTGGATATTAGGAAAAAAGATCGTAATACCCATGATACAACTTACAGACCATATGAAGCTCAAGAATAGGGAAGACCAAAATGTGGATGTCTCAGTCCTACTTAGAAGGGGGAGCAAAATAATCACAGGAGGTTGAGGGTGAGAGGGACTTGGGAGGGAGAGAAGAGAAGGAGGGTAAAAGGGGGGCAGGATCAGGTGTGGGAAGAGATGGGTGAGATGTACAGAGAGGGTCAGGAAATTGAACAGAGGTGTATAGCAATGGGAGATGGAGACTGGGGGTAGCCACCAGAAAGTCCCAGATGCCAGAAAAGTGGGATGCTTCAAGGACCCAATGGGGATGACATTAGCTGAAACACCCAACAAGAGGAAGAGAGAACCTGTAGAAACCATATCCAGAGGTTAGACACGGCCTCCTGTTGAGGGATGGGGTCACCCACCCTTCACAAAAATTTAACCCAGAATTGCTCCTGTCTAAGGGAAATACAAGGACAAAGTGTAAAGCAGAGACTGAAGGAAAGGCCAACAAATTCAGTCCCAAGGATGTCCTGACCCCTGCCTCTAGATACAGTCATGTTCTTCATCCCAACCCTGCCCCTTTCTCCTTTCCTTTAAAAAGCATCTGTTGAGTGGCTTCCACAAGCTTTGGTGCTTTGCTGTGTTTCCCAGCTCATCCAGGACTCTGTCAGATGGAAGAATCAGAAAACTCTCTTGACTTCCCTAAATAGGAGAACATTCCTCCTTTACCTTTAACCCAGCTGTATTACTGTCCACAGTTCATTCCCTCACTGACCCACCCTAAAATATCTGCAGTCTGAAGAAAACACCTGTTTCATTTTATTTTATTTATTTTCCTCACATAGCGTCTGCTTCAAGAATAATACCTGGGGCTGGAGAGATAGCTCAGTAATTAAGAGCATTTGCTGTTTTTACAGAGGACCTTGGTTTGTATCTTAGACCCACTTGGCAGCTCACAACTGTCTGTAATTTCAGTTCCAAAAGATCTACTATCCTCTTCTGGGTTCTGTGAGTAGTGGGCACACAGTATATTTATGTATGTGTAGGCAAATATTTATATAATAAAATAAAAATAAATAATATTTTTTTAATTTAAAGAGTAATATCTGCATTGGGGAAAGCAGTACAGAACCTTCTCAAAAACAGAAACTACCCGTCTGGGGAGACAGCTGAGCAGACAATAACACTTGCCACGCAAGCCTGGTAACATAATTTTGATCCCTGGAATTCACATAAAGCTGGATGTAGTGGGGTGTATATACCTATAATCCCAGCACGCCTGTGGTGAGATGCAAGGCTGGAGGCTCTCGGCCTGGCTAGCAACAGAAACTATGAAAGAGAGCCTGCTTCAACAAGGAGGCAAAGAACCAACTCCAAAAAAGTTGTCCTCTGACCTTCCCGATATCACACATGAATATCAGCAACTATTTACACGTACACACACACACATAAACACACACACACACCCCTACACACACACTCGCACACCCACATGCACAAGGTCATGCACACGGGCACACACACACACACACACACACACAAAGTAAATAGTTGAGAACAAAGATGTAGCAAACAGAAGAGTGTAGACAGAAAAGGATGGGAGGGAGGGATGGAGAGATGATGGTTACTGGGTACCAGGATGCCATTTGAGGAGGAATAGCATCTAATATTCTAAAACATAGCAAGACAACTTTGGTTAAAAATAGTTTATTGATTATTTAAAATTAGTTAATCACAGAGGATTTTGATCATTCCCCAAAGAAATATATATGTATGTATATATATATACAAATATATGTATATATAATCAATTTCATATATATGCATTGATATATATGCATTGATATACATTTTATACACACACACAGATATGTGATATTGATAGAGAATGTGTTTCTGGGGTAACAGATACACCAGTGACCTGATCATGTTATACACAATCATTGAAATCCCACACCCTTCTCTAAGGACGCATTCAATTGTTATGTCAACTAAAAATAAAAGTATATCTTAAGAGAAAGTATGTGGCACAAATGCTCAGAAAACATTTGCCGGTGGGTTTTAAACCTGGCTGCAGTATGTATCACAGGCAGAGAGTCCTGGCTCCACCAGCCTTCAAATGCGGGCACACATTTCACACACTGTTTTCTTTCAGCTCTCTAACCTGAATTCTTGCTGAGGGAGTCTTTCTGTTTTCTTCCTGGGTTTTGTTTATGACAGAGTTGAAAACAGAATATAGGCTTCTGGAGAAAAAAAAAATCTGAGTAGCCTATAATTTATTTTCTTCTCTTTCCAGGTTTCTCACACTTGCCTGGAAACACACCTTCAAAAGATAGTCTCTCAGGACGTGAGCCCAGACATAAAGGAGCCTGCCTAAGGTCAGATGGCTCAGAGTGACAGAGCATTTGATTCTTACCTGCTCACAGTTTCTACAAATCCCAAAGGGCCATGGAAGGGAGGGTGGGGGTGAGGGGGCGAGGGATCCGAACCTCACAGATTTACCTGTAGAATGTACTCATTTTGAGCTGTCATTTATATAACAAATAAATGATTCCTATGTGCCAAGCCAGGAGCTGGAAGCCCTTCCTTTCCTTTCTTTTCATTCTTTCTTTTTTTTTTTTACCTTGTTTTTAGTAATGTTTTGTTTGTTTTATTCTCTTGGTACTTGATGGACCACAGGATCTCCCTTGTGCTCACCAACTGCTCTGCGTGGTCACCATCCTGGAAGAATGCTCTAGAGACAGAGATTCAGAATCTTGGCTACTATTGTTTCCTTCTCTATTGTTTCTGTTGTGCGGAGGCTTTATTTTGATCTAGGTGATCTTCATATACAGTGCTTTTAATACACTTTTAAAAACAAAAATTCTAGGCATGTGAAAAATATTTCTTATATAATTTGATAGACAGTGTTTTGTTCTCCTTTGTCTAACTTCTAATTTGACTGTAAAATAATATTTATATTTTTCAGAGCTCATTTCAATTCTCTGCAGAGGCTCTAACATGAAAACCAAAAATCTCAGGTATTTTCAGTTGTCTTTCTCTTTTTTAAAAGCTTCTTTACATTTTAGCTTAAGTTCTGGTGTTTTATTTCACATCCTTATGGCATTAAATTAAAATTGGTATGAGAACCATACATTTAAATCCGCCTTTTGACAGCTCACTGATCAGCTTTTCACTAAAGAGACTAATTTTCTCTAGGATACAGTACAGCTAATAGAATTGACACACATAAAAATGTCTCCTGCACCGAGTCTCCCCACCTTCCTGGGGATTGTACACCTGACTTCCTTATAAGGTAAATGAGGAAGTAGGCATGTTGAAGTTGCTTTTAAACACAGCTTTTCTGCTTTGCCTGTCCAGGTAGCTTCTGTTTTCATTTCAGTCTTAATGAAAGCTTTTGAATTTACAGCTCAAGTTACTTTTCAAAGCAGTGTAAGTAGTTTTACTTTTTTTTTTTTTAAATCACTGCAAGAAAGACTTTCCCGGCTTCCAGCTTTGGTCTTGTAACCCTGAAGGTAATTCATTTTTAATCTGTCTGCACAGTGAAAACTGAACCGAATGGGGATTGAGCTGGTCTGCCTGTTCCTGCTACTTCTAGGAAGGAATGATCACGTCCAAGGTAAGCCCGAAGCTCTCTCAGATATCGCTCTCGTCGTATGCTTGACAAACTGTCATTTGGTTCAGAGAACAGACCTACAGTCATCTTTCATTCGATCTGTCTGATGGCTCTCATGCCACTGAGACAATTTGACAAACTATAGGAGGCAGACGAAGGGCATTTCCCCCGGGTGAATGTTCTAGGTACAAGGTAAATAAATACAAAGGCTTCACGGGCGTTTTAATGAGGAGGATTAGACAGCGTCCCTGAACAATGGGGACGGGTGAGTGTCGTCCTGTTGGCCACTTCGAAAGCTTTTCTGTTTTGTTGCACAACAAGGCCGTCCACCTGGGAGTCATAATCGTGAGAGTGGAGGAACAGAAATGCTGAATGTATAAGAGAAACCTTTTTTAATGAGTACAGACACGTTTTTGAAATTAAGCGGCAGGTGTTGAACAGGAGGCTAAATCCAGTGATTCTGTACTGAGCAGTTAGACGTGGTTGTGGTCTGAGACACTGTTTACATGATGTAAGATATTTCCAATGCGATGGATCTAAGCTATAAACTTTGATGTAAGTTACTAGCCTTCAGAGGATTAATCTTATAAAGTGAATTTTTATATAGCTTCGCTCAAGTAAGAAGGGTTAGTCCCATAAGCAGGATGAAGGAGAGTGCTTTAATCCTTGCCTGTTGCGGCTTTGCCCTTAGGTGGCTGTGCCTGGGGTGGTGCAGAAACCTGCTCAGACTGCCTGCTCACAGGACCTCACTGCGCCTGGTGCTCCCAGGAGGTAAATCCCTGGCTATCACCCTGTTTCTACCACTGCTCCCACATCCATTACCGATAATATCCTGGTGAAAGCGCTTCTCTCTGTGGGGTTGAATGAGTAAACAAGATCAAGAGAAGAACGTGAGGGTCAGTGGATCAAAGCTGGATTCATCTATACTTTGGAAACAACTCACTGAAGGAATGGTTGCCAAATTGTTCTTTAAAAACTGAATATCCTTTATTAAATCTAGACAATTCTCTCATTTAATTTAATTACTTTATTTTTTATTTTTATTTTTGAGACAGGGTCTCACTACATAGCACTGGCTGGCAAGGGGCTCACTATGTAGACTAGGCTGGCCTGGAACTCACAGAGGTGTGGCTGCCTCTGCCTGACCAGTGTTGTGACTAAAGGGGTGCCAGCCATCTGGTTACGTCTCTTCCTATAAAGTCTTTCTAGCTGTTTGCTGGTGTAACATTCTTTCTGGATAATTGGTGGCCATGGAGATTTTGTCCAAAGCTAAGCAGACATTGATGTTGATACAATGTAGTTGTGTTCCATCTGGGATCCGAGATCCATTGTGAGTCTGTGCTAGGTACTTCAAGAAGTGAAAACTATGATTCAGGAGTCAGCCAATTCTTTTATATAGTCATGAACAGAGTGGGCACAGCAAAGTTCTAAAGTGGTGGTTCGAAACCTGTAGGTCACGATCCCTGTCTGGGTTGAATGACCCTTTCACAGGGGTTGCCTAAGATCATTGGAAAACACATAGATTTACATGATGATTCATAATAGTAGCAAAATTACAGTTATGCAGTGTCAACAAAAATAATTTTCTGGTTGGGGGTCATTAAAGGGTTGCAGCATTAAGAAGGCTGAGAACTGCTGCTCTAAAGAAATGGTCCTTGTCTGATCAGAATAAAACTTGTGTGAAGAAGTGTGGAGAGCGTGAGGACTAAATAGCAAGACAGACCAAGTCACAGCCTGTGCTGTGATGCCGAGAGCAATGTGTAGTGTAAAGGATTCACAGTAAGAAAAAACAGCCTTGGCTTTCTGGTTGTTTAAGTCCCACCCCTTGGAAAGAATCTAAGTGCCAATCAAGGCTTACAAATGTCAACAGCAGGAACCAAGTGGCATGCAAAGGGAAAGGAATCTAGACGCCTGGATAGACCTGGGCTGTAAATATTAGGGTCCAAATTCCCTGTTTATTATGTATCTGTGGAGGGTTGTCTCACATACAGAAAGCATAAACAAGCCTGCTCCTCCCCACACACTGCCTTAACTGCTTAGGCCACAAATAAAATTCAAGGCAATTATTCTCTTTTAAGGTCAAATACGAAATGCAGGGTTGAGAATATTCAACAAGGAACAAACCCATATACTCTTTGGACATAGTCTAGAAGACAATATTAGTTTCATGGCAGAGACAAAAAATATTGTGTCAATCTGGAGTTTATGTTTACTGTGTGTGTGTGTGTGTGTGTGTGTGTGTGTGTGTGTGTGTGTGTTACCCATGGAGGCCAGAAGACAGAATCAGATCACCTGGAATGACACTTATAGGCAGTTATGAGTTTCTTGATATGAGTGCTGGGAACCGAACTTGGGTTCTTCAGAAGAGCAATAAGCATTGTTAGCTGTTGGCCTATCTCTCTAGCCCACTAGAATTTATAATTAAATTCGTTTTTATATTGAATTCATAACTAAGTGTTTCCTAAGGTGCTACTGAGGGTTTTATTTGTAGCTAGTTAAGTGATCATCAAGTTTTAAGGCCAGATCACTTTAGAGGCCTCTTAAACAATAAAAGCAGTTGTGAGTATGTCAGCTGTGGCAGACAGCTGTGGCCGTCAGTGCAAAGGATGAGGACAACTGAGTGTATACACGAACTTACAAACTGCTCCTCTCAATCTTTATTCTCTTTTTAAAGGTTTATTTATTATATTTATATGAGTATACCATAGCTGTCTTCAGACACACCAGAAGAAGGCATCAGATCCCATTATAGATGGTTGTGAGCCACCATGTGGTTGCTGGGAATTGAACTCAGGAGCTCTGGAAGAGCAGTCAGTGCTCTTAACTGCTGAGCCATCTCTCCAGCTCTGCCTCCAACTTTATTCTTTTAGCAAAGGCTGAGCAGAGCTGATAGCTATTGCACTATGTCAGGAAGCATTCCGAAGCCCCGTGCAGCTACTGTTTGCCTTTATTATGTCATGAGAGGATGCAGTTTGCCAGACCCAGGTTATAGCTGTAAATCTGAATAGGTCTGATTGGCAGGTAACAAACTGTATTTTTGAAAGTCAATTTCAGAAGAAGTATAACTTTTCTAGTTTGTGAAAATAGTAGTGATAGCTTAGAATCCTAATGGGCAAGAAAAGACATGAGTATAGTTTGGTTTTTAGTAGGCACCAAACTGGCTTCCATGAGCAAATCACACACACACACACACACACACACACACACACACACACGCATGCACACACACACGCGCGCCCAAGGGCCTCAGGTCAATTCAGTTCAGGGTCAGCTTTGCCTATCGGTAGCACTTGTTCTGTTCATGCTTTGGCTCTGTCTCCTTGCTCTGGAGATCAGAGTGGCAACATCTCCATTGAGCCCTCCACCGCCCCACCTTCTCTTTGGATGGACCTGAAGGGCTGGGACTTTCTGAAATCCCAGACAGAATGCACACCTTAAAACCATCTTCTCTTTCAGCCTCCGGACCCAGGTTGTGGAGGTCATTCTAAAAGACCTTGAACTAGAATCCTTTAAGATACTGAGCTTAAAGTCCTTGAGAGGTCAGTTCAAGTGCAGGGATGCTATAATTAACACACCATCCAATAAAAGCAGAAGAGTGGCAGACAGGGAGATGTTAGGTGCCCTGTCCTTGAGGAATCCACAGGAAACATCTCTATGGCTCCACAGGAAACATCTCTCTGGGTTTGGTGATAGTCCTAGGCTAGAAATCCAGGAACCAGATATTCATCTGGAACAAATTCTCAGGAAAATAGCAACTTTGGGAACTCAGACATTTAAAAGATATACTCAGATTACTGAAGACATTTTATAACATGGGCTTTGGAAAAAAACTGTAAGATGAATTAGACTAAATATAGTTTAAAAAAAGAGGCTGAGGTTTATTTTTTAAAAAAAAAATGCTGGCTAAATTCCCCAGTTATTCAGCTATCACAGAGCTCCATCTGCCAATCACCGCCAGTCATGTGGGGGATGTGATGCTCCTAGCATGTACTTGTTTGCATGTACTTATTTCATAAAAATTTAATGTCTGGAATCTTACAAGGAAATGCAGATTTGCCTTTTTTTTTCTCGTTGTTATTTTTCCCCCTTTAGAATTTCACCCACCTGTCCGGAGCTGCCGTAAGGTGTGACACCCCAGTGAATCTTTTAGCCAAAGGATGTCAATTACCCTTCATCGAAAACCCTGTCTCCCAAGTAGAAGTACTTCAAAATAAGCCTCTCAGCATAGGTCAACAGAAAAATAGTTCTGACATTGTTCAGATTGCTCCTCAAAGCTTGGTTCTTAAGTTGAGACCAGGTATGGTATGGCTTCCTACTGCTATGTCTGTGCCTTGCTATCCAGTATTCCTTCTGATACCCCATCACACACCATTGGTTATTGGGATTTTCATTTCCCAATCTGAAGGAAATGGGGAATTACTAACACATCTCTTTGTCTCTTCATTGCATTCCAAATGTCACTGAAGACAGCTTGTCTGATGATGACCATTTGAAGTCTCAAATGTCTACCACATTACCGCATATTTCTGCAGGGACTGAAATATAGATTTAATCTCCCCTTTATTTGGTTCACCCTTTCTAAAGCCGCACACAGAAAGATGCAGCTTGTCTTCCATCTAAATGGATGCTACTTTTCCCAAGGAGATATAAGATATTCCAACATACACCTCCTTCAGTCCTTCAAAACTCACTGCTGAGAGATTTACATGGACATATTCATTGATAAGTGTTAGCACACAGTTCAGGAGATTCCATGCATCTTAATAAGGTCACACTGAAATAAACTAGCCAGCTAGCTCAAAATTGGTTACTTACAAAGAACTGCTGTGTTTACCGATTTGCCTTTCTCTTGGGACTTTGCAGGGGGTGAGCAGACTCTGCAGGTGCAGGTCCGCCAGACGGAAGATTACCCAGTAGATCTGTATTACCTCATGGACCTCTCCGCCTCCATGGATGACGACCTAAACACAATCAAAGAGCTTGGCTCCCGGCTTGCTAAAGAGATGTCTAAATTAACCAGCAACTTTAGACTGGGTTTTGGCTCTTTTGTGGAAAAGCCTGTTTCTCCTTTTATGAAAACAACAGCAGAGGAAATCACCAACCCTTGCAGGTAAGTGAGTGAACTCCCTGGCATCCCTGAGCACTGACTCGTATAGATGGAATTCACATAACTGGGCTGCTGTGCCAGCAGCTTGTTAAAACCCTGGCATTCTGCCTCAAGATTGGATCTCAGCAATTCTCTGTGGCCTAGGTAGCTTCCAGCCAAGGTGGGGTCATCATAACTCCATGATCCTGTAGACCCTGCATCTTCTGCCAGGTTTGCAGTTCAGGATGGAGCCAACTATGTTTCCTGTTTATGGGCAAGGAAAATCTGTCTTTCACCATTGACTACATAGGACACACATACCAATCCCTCAGATATCTTCAGTTCCTAGTGACCACCACTTCCTAGGACTATTTGACACCAACCTACATTTTTTTTTCTGAGTCTTTCTGTCAAAATAGCAATTTTTGCACCTTCCTCTGACGTACTTTGGGATATGTGGCTTTCACTCATTGCTGAAAGCAAGCAGCCTTCACTGCAATTAAATTCAACAGGAAATGAGGCAGCACCTCTATTATAATATGCTATAATCAGACACTAAAAACCATGTATTATGCAGGTAATAGTCAAGGGTGGATTGTCTTGTGATGGCTTATCTGTACCATCAATGACATATTCAAAATCAAAGTATTTAATATTCTACTAAAAAAAAAGCTACCATGTGCTTGGTGTCAACCTCTATGCCAAATTCGTCATATACATGATCTCATTCCATCCTTATAATGATGGTGGGCTGAAGCTGGTCTCCTGTGTGTCCTGTACTCAGAGGAAGAGATAGGGGACCCAAGACGTCAGCAATTTACCCAAGGCCACATTACTAAGTAAAGATTTCTGAAAAGATCTGGTATGATCCAAAATCTTATCCTTTTACTACAATTTCCCTCTCTCTCTCTCTCTCTCTCTCTCTCTCTCTCTCTCTCTCACACACACACACACACACACACAGACACACACACAGAGACACACACACACACACAGATACAATTTCTCAAATGTGTGTTCACATTTAAAATTTTAATACATTAAAATTTGTATATAAGGAACAAATGGTGTTATGCCAATTTTAAATAGTTTAATATAGTCCTCATAAGCCGGTTGGTGATGGTGCACATCTTTAGTCCTGACACTTGGGAGGCAGAGGCTGGCAGATCTCTGAGTTCGAGGCCAGCCTGGCCTATGAAGCAAGTTCCAGGACAGCCAGGGTTACACAGAGAAACCGTGTCTCAAAAAGCTGACTGACTGACTAACTAACAACAGACTAAGTAAATAAATAATACATGGAAAAAGAAAAGAAATTTAGTCTAGTTCTCAACTTTAATCTAACATAATCTAAAGCAAATCCAAAGCAGTTTTAACCTGAAAGGAAATTCTTACTGATTCTAATTCTTAGGAATTGTGTTTGCTTGCAAGTAACAAAGACACTGGCTGAGGAGGAGAATTATTTCTCTCAGTTCAGGGTTAGCTTAGCAGATCCACACACAGGAATCCAAGGCATCCCTGCTGTCTGCTTAGCCATGATTGGTGCTTGGGTTTTATCTTCATGGTCTAAGAAGACGTCTGAGGCACTAATGCTGTCTTTATTCCAGGAAGTAAGAAAGGAAAGTAAGCAGATCAATAAAGACCTAAGAGAGAGAGAGAGAGAGAGAGAGAGAGAGAGAGAGAGAGAGAGATTGTCATATATATATATATATATATATATATATATTACTATCTATTATATACTAAATCTTATTATACACACACACAGGCCACAGGCAACAATGCTGCTTGATGAGTTTTGGTAATTGAGTGTGGCAAGAAAATCCACATACCAGACTTATCTTCCCCTCAGAAGGATTCTTCATGACCTAGTGCAGTCAATTCTGCTTCCTCTGAAGCAACCACTTCCTAGTTTCTATTGCTTAGATTGTTTTTGCCTATTCTTGGGTCTCATACAGATGTGAGCATGGGTAGTGTATACTCCTTGTGTCTGGCTTCTTTTGTTCAGCAAAAACATTTTTGGATTTCTTTATGATTTTGTTGTGCAAGTCAGCAGCCTGTCCCACTTCGTTTTAGCACACAGTCCTTTATGGATCAGCTACTGTTTATTCATCCTTCCATCGATGGACAGGACTGTTTCCTGTCCATTGTATTGTTTCCATGTTTTAGACATTGTGAACAATGTTGGTATAACCACTTGCATATCAATCTTTAAATAAAATATATTCTTTTTATTTCTCTTAGATGCATAGGTAGAATAGATTTGCTGAATTATCTGATAATTTTTAAAGTTTTCTTTTTTCAAGAAACAACCAGACTCTTTCGCAAAGTAGAGGTGCCACCTTGTATTTCCAAGGACGGTTAGCAAGTGTTCTGCATGCTCGAATCCACGGCGTCACTAATGAGTGCTGTACGAGTAGCATCCAACTTACTAGGTTATCACTAAGCAATCAGTCCTTCTCATGTTAGGCGTTGCTATAGGTCTGTAGCGCTACCTTGACATTGCTTTAATTTGTGTTTATTGATGAATGATGCTGAACGTCTTTTCATGAGTTCTAACGTTTACATATGCTCTAGAAAAAGAGCACATAGCCAGCGATGTGGTTTGATGAGTTTTGGAAGCTGAGCGCTAATGTCTCATTTGGGGAAATACCTTTTCAAATATTTTAACTAGTTAAAATCTTTTATTACCTTATTTATATTGTTTTATATGGGTCCTTTTATTTTATTGTATGTGAGTATTTTGTCTGTCCTTCCACCACGTATGTTCAGTGCCCTTAGAGTTCAGAAGGTGGCTCCAGAAACCCTGGAACTGGAGTTTCAGATGGTTCTGAGCCGTCTTGTGGGTGTTGGTAACTGAACCTGGGTTCTCTGCAAGAGCAGTAAGTGCTCCTGACGGTTGAGCCATCTCTCTTGCCCCTCTTTATGTATTTCGGATACAAGGTCTTTGTCCAATATGTTTTTCAGATATTTTTACCAGTCTGTAGCTTGTATTTTATTATATTAACGATATCTCTTTTCAAAATTTTGCTGGAGATCATTATATCAATTTTTATTTGTAGTTGATTTTTGTTGTTGTTGTTCTGAGAAACTTTGGCCTATTTTAAGGTGATAAAATTTTCTTCTAAATTTTCTTATAGAAATTATAAGGTTAAAGGTCTTCCAATTAGGCCTCTGATCACAACCAAATGAGTTTTTATATTGAGAATGGAAAACATTGAGATTTTTCTTTTGTTTTCACCAAAAAAAAGTGGTTATTCCAGTGCTGTTAGTTAAGCAAGACTTTCCACGTTGAATTAGTTTGGCATCGTTTGTGAAAGATAACTGATTTGTGAAAACCAGTTAGCCTCATTATTTTCAGTGTAAAAAAAAAAAACCCAAGCAAACAAAAAACAAAAACAAACCACTTTACTTTTTTCCATCTTTCTTTACATCATCTATTCCTTAGGGTTTTTTTTTTTCAAAATCTCAGTTTTCAATAGTAATTTTTCAAAATGCAACTCATTTTGAATGTTCATTTTTGTTCTGAGACCTTTACACATTTTCTTTCATTAATTCTAACCTATGTTGGGGGCCACATCATCTGGGAATAACAAGGTCTTCTTCTTCTTCAGTAGCCATCCTCCTTTTTATTTTTCTTGCTTTATTCTGTTGGCTAGGATCAGCAGCACAATTAGTAACTGATGTGGTGTATGAGGACAGACCCTGTCATGTCAATGGGTCAAAGGAAAGCTTCAGTTGCACACTGGGTATATTGTAAGCTGGGGAGTTTTTCAGTTTCATTTATAAGGCAAGAAAGGCCACTTCTAGCCCTGTTTTGGTACATTTCTCCTTTTATAAATGAATTATAAATGAATGATGAATTTTAGTTTCCTAATTTAAGGAGTTTGGCCAGAAATTTTACCCTAAATCTTATACTTGCTTAAATAACTACAGGTAGCTAAAAAGGACATTCACGGCTGAAAATCAGATTTCTGTTGTTGGATAGAAAGACACTAGGTAGCAATTCCTGTAACATGAGACATGTAGATGTCTAGGAAGAGTAAAAACTGACTCAAATACATTCTTAAAATTGCCAAAGAATAACCAGTAAGGTATGGCTGCTGTTATCAAGTATTAGATCCATCTGTAAAGACAAAAAAATTCATTAGAAAACCCATCTCATCTAATATAAAAGTATCTCTTCTATTTCTGGCCTTTTCTTTGGTAAATTGAAGAGCTCTATACCTCCCTGAAGTTTGTACATGATTATTTGGCATATCACATATCCTCTTGTAACAAGTTCCAGTGTATTCTAATGGAAGGCATTTCCATCAGGACCAAGTGCTTGGGTACCATTCTTCCTGTCTCAGGTCAGATAAGATGTAGCAATTTGACATACTATAGAGAAACAAGGAGTATAGAATGTTAGTAAAGAAACAACTAAAACTAACAACAGTAGGATGACTCAGCTAAATGGGGGGGGAGGGGCAGGGGAAGAACTAGCAATGAAACCTAGTCCTTAAACAAACATCTAGAAAAATCAAAGTAAATTGACTCTTTATTTAGTGCTATGTATATATTTAATTTTAGCATTCATTTTGTTTTGTTTTTTCGGTTTTTTGTTTTATTTTGTGAGACAGTCTCATGTGATAGCAAAGACTGGCCTTGAGCTTGCTACGGTCAATGGCTAGCCTTAAAATTACAGCAACCAACTTGCCTCAGACCAAGTGCTGAGATAATTAGCATGAACAAACATGCTTGGCTTTCATTCAAGTAGTTTTTCATTCAAGTAGTCATTTGTTGGCTTTAAATTTTTTACAGAGGCTCAAGGAGTATGCAAGGTGCTGAACTATCAGGGGGTGGGACATTTGGACCCATTCTACAAGGGACTGAAGTTCTTTAGTGGCCAGGCACATTGGATGACAGCACAGGTCCCAGAATCAGCTCTGGATGAAGCCTTGGCTCATTGAGACATTCCTAACATGGCCTTAGCTGGGTCATCTCTCCTCTCAAATCATCAGTTTCTTTTTTAGTAAATCGAGAGT